TGTATTTTTGTTTGTTATGGATAAGTGTGATGAAAGCTTTCTAGAATACCGGAAACACCTTTTTTATATATTTAAAGCTCTCTGCGTTATTCGTGTACGCTACTTTCATGTCGGTCTATTTTTTCATATAAGATCAATTTTATGTTATTTCTTTACTAACTTTAGTTCCATTATCACCCAGTCTCGAAAACATCTCTTATGAGTTCTTTAACGTGCACGGGGCCTCGGTTTTCCGTCCTACACCACTGACAATGGGGAACCACCCCGGAAAAAACTCGATGTACATTCTCGGCCAACACCGGGAGAGAACCGGAGACAGCCAGTTTAGCGAGACAACGTCTTATATTGAGCCACCACGGAGAAGAAGTTGGTTAGTTGCCTGATTTAAGAACCACACTTCGAGCTAGGTTTTCTCTACAGACTATAAAAACTTATGTTTCTCAAAACCACGTGTCTCCGTTGCATGGTTCCGGCTTTCACCGTCGTTATGTTAAAGGGTAATTTAGATAGAACTAATTCGACCGACACTGAAAAAGCACTAAACTTGCCTTCATTATTGTTATAACTTTTAAAAGTCAGTACATAAATATCGCAAGTTTCATGGACATAAGTTAAATATAGTTGATCAATATGACATAATGTGGATAGAAAGATATAAATATCTCTGTTATAAAAGATGAATATTTGTTGATCCTAACTACGCGTGTGTTTTCATCAACATTTAACACTTGCATACCATTGTTTGGTTTGTTTGTATTGCATCTATAACTGCTTCTGTGTGTAATGGGGTTGCCTCATAAAATGATCGTCTTCAGAAAAGCAAACATGTGAGAACTGTTCATTAGTACATTTCCTATTGTGTTTCCGGGATGGTATTTTCTCGCGTGTCCCACGTCTTTTACTTTGTTTATAACGTTGTTGTGATTAAGCAAGCCAGCTTCCGGCTGTCGGGAGTCAAATCTATTTAAGTTGACGAAGTATTGAAACAATGCGAATTTAAAGCAGTGAGTCTCTTTCCTTAATGGATTAACTCTTCCCAATAAGATCTTGAAAGCTTTGAAGTTGAAAATGATCATATGGTTATTCTGTAAATATATTGCGGATGGATTGAGTAATAAAACGTGTGAAATAAATAAAAGGTAATTTGGGGACTAACATAATAATGGTTCAATATTATTTCAATAACGTGGTTGCGCATAGTGGTCTTTAGGTTTGATAGGTGACATTATGCCAGTTGACTCAATGACAAATCTTATGATCTAAAGCGATGGCGTTAAACTATTCGCCTGCAAACGACCATTTAAATGATTGCGTTTGCCGAGGTCCCGTGTAGACATTGCCGTACACGTAAAAGAAACCATGGCAGTTAGAATTCGATATAAGAGTGGGGCAGTCGGAACAGAATAGAAGGACATTAAACCCAATTTCACTTTATTTCATGATTGAGTTTGTTTAGAGATATTCGATTGTCCACAATCTGTTGGCAAGTTCACGTTATCTGTGTCTAAATATCACCAACAATTTACTCATATACTCTGTGATAAAAACCCGAGACTAATTCATTTTAGATGTGAAAAATGACACCTCTTTTTAATTAAATTGGGAGTCGAACTGGTAAAGAACACCGTCTATACAGGAAGAGTGGTCATATCATTTACAATCTTGCACCAGTGTGTCTTGCCACAACAAGGGTGGGATTCTCTAGGTAGTATGGCGTCTAAATCAAGTCTAGGATTGTGTGTGTTCTAATTCAAAATATGACAATTCCTAGACAGATAAAGAAATATGTATTCATATAGACCGTTTTTCCACTACTCGCAGACCCCCTGGGACATTTTCTAAATATCTAAGGAACCCTCCTACGACAAAATCTGTCTTTACTCTGGAACGTTAGCATTCCTTTTAACGACAGACTCATATCAGTTAATGAAATTCATTGACCGAATATCAACAATTTTCTATTCAGTTGTATGTGGTTATCTTTCTTTTATGGTTATCTCCCCCCCCCTCCATCGACTTCGCACCGCGGTGTTGTCCGAGAAAGTCCCTTGGGTTTTTCCGGTGTGTTTGCCATTTGGGACGAAAAACAAAGACCGCGTGTTCACATTGGCGTGCACGTTAAATAATCATTGACAGTTGGATTTCGAAATAATAGTAGGGCGTAGCCCCGCTGTCTGGGCAAAATTTCCCTCATAACACACTGCATAGCGCATCCCAGTCTTCATTCACCCAGTCGGTGCGGAAAAACAGGACGTTAAATCCCATTTCATTCCATTGCATTACTTCCACTGATGTAATCTTATAAAGAAAATATATTTTGCCCTTCGCGTACATTTTAATCAAAAATCATTTACAACGCTGAAACGGTTAAGGTCAATTTGTTTAGATTTAAATGTAACAATTTATAACTATATAGTTGGAATATCGATCTGTGACCTTTAATTATAACGGTATATCTCAATAGACGTCTGCAAAAACTTGTTATATTCCTGTTGTTCTGATAAATTCCCAAAGAACCACACAACTTTGTTAAGAAAGTACAATTAAATGAACCCCGACTAAATCAAAGTAAAAGAGAAAAGATTAGTGATTTTTACTAAGTTCCTTAAAAAAACCTACAAACCTTTAATAACATCACATGTGCGTGCATTAGCCTGGTGCGAAGGGTTAGTCTGTTGTAACACCGACGCAACATGTGCGTCACATGACGCAACCGGGGCGCCATCCTGCGTCGCCGTGAGTGTTTTCAATTGCAGCAAAAGGCTAGGCAAACCTGACGCAAGTACCGCGGTAGCTGATGCGTCACAACGCTAAGGTGCGCATAGAACTATAAATATCTATACAAAAAAACACATACTTGTATGGTGTTACTATTTGCGTTACCGTTGAAGTAAAGCGGATTTTGGCAAAATTTTGAACTCTTTCAAAAATGAAATGAAATGGGGTTTAAAGTCCCACTGTCCAGCTCCTATATTGGGCTAATGAAGACAGGCATACGCCATACAGTATGCTATGATGGAAATTTTGCCCGGGTAGGCCTAGTGGCACTATGCCTACTCTTATATCGAATTCCAACTGCCAATGTATACACGGCACCTTGGTTTTTCGTCCTATTCCAACAAGTAGACAGCTGTCCTGCACCACTGACGAGGGGAATCCTCGTTGGGCAATGCAGCGATCGAACACGCGACCTCCAGGCTAGCGAGCCAGCGTCTTGCCCACTTAGCCACCGTGGCTCCCTCTCTCTTCCAATAAACGACGGGGCTTTTAACATTACGTCATCGAAATAACGACACACGCCTTGCGCTACCTCGGTTTTCACAAAGCGCATGCGCAAACATGACGAGTAAAAACTAATTTTAACTGAGCTACATGATTAGCCACTAGCCAGGACGAAGTAAAAACTGTCGTCATCTAGTCTCGGAGAGTTTGTTGTGAGTTGCACATTCTTTATGTTTGTGATTTGCTCGATCCGTTTTGAAACACAGTTTAAGCGCAGGGCCCCGATTCACGAAATCTTAACTAAAGATAAAATCAAAATTTTAGTAGATACTTCAATTTTGATTGGCTAAGCAATAAAATCAATCTAATATTATCCAATCAAATTACTAAAATTTGGATTTTATCTTAGTTAAGTTTTCGTGAATACGGGCCAAGGTTAAGCTAGCCAATATGAACTAATTTACAGGTCACGTGATACATCATTTCGTCAACGCTAGCAGCTTAAGCGCAGTTACGATCCCGACCTATTAGTCTAACTATGATCGAAGGCGACATTAGCTGGCAGTTTTTACTGATGCCATATCAATATGGAGTCGTAGGGTTTTTGCTGGGTTCCAATAGTTTTGTTGTACATGTATATGCTTTGCTTAATGTTAAACTGATTCCAAATTTTTCAAATATTCCATCTTACTTTAGGATTCCAATTCAACACATTTACATTCATCGATACTTCATGTGCATTATGGATGCTATTATTTTTATAATGCGTTAAAATTATACAATAATGACGCAAGACCAAAAGGCAAACTGATCACTATATTATGATAATGTCATAGTGTGATCGGTAAACCGAATAACTTTATGCCAGCATTATATCTAAAAATCAGGGACCAGACGTATCAAAATATAAGTCTCTTAACAAACAAAAAATAACAAATTATTCTACCGAATTAAGCAACTGACAGGTGATCCTTTTCCGGTGAACAGAAAGATTGTGCATCATTCGGCGTTAAGCCCATGTGCGCGTTTTAAATTGGCCTGGTCCATGCCAGTATCATGCAAAGCTCCATGTAGGTCGAGAAAAACCTTAAGAATTTGTCAGTCACGGATCTCACTTGGCATGGTTGACGCCTGTGGGACTTTGTGTAGAGCCTTTGGGGTGGAACGATAAAACGAGAAGAACCCCTCTACTTATTGGGGTATACTCAAGGACCCGCAACAATTGGAATTCTAAAAAGAGTAAGCCGCTAACATCTTTATTTTAATCCGATGGAATCGAAGTTGAAAGATATTTTGATATTAAATGATAAATAATTAAACAGGCGTTATGCACGTACCGACTTAAGTAATGATGATCGAGACTAGGCCTAAAATTCAATCGCTAAATTCTCGGTTCAGAGTCGATTAATTTGACTGAACTGCAAGCTCTTTATCTAATCTCCAAAATAATGTATCTCTAACGTAAAAATGGAAAATCGAGACTGTTTATTATCGTAGCAATGACAATCGAGACTACACTGTAACTGTAGCGGCGGTAGCTCGGCTTAGAGTGAAGTAATTTGACTGAAATTTTCAACATATTCGCTTCCCATAATCTATTTTTTAACTATTATAGCGAAAACTGTCAGCTCTTTATCTAATCTTACATAATACCCCTTCAATTTAATTATAATTTAGCATGGATTAAAACGTGGGAAATTCAATATTGTTCCAAAAGTCAGCTTGTTTAAAATAGAGTATATAATAAGGACAATAAATACATCATATATATATTTTAGGTGGACCTGTAACAGTGAATGCTGATATTTTATTACGATCCATGGGACCAATATCTGAACTAGAAATGGTGAGATGTATTTATTTATAGTTTAAAATGTTGATAGTATTTCCTTCGCTGGGAGGCTGGATGACCGAATGGTTAGCGTGTGCGCGATGTTCCATCAGGTCTGTCATTGAGTCAACTGGCGTGGTTTCGATTTCCCGGTTGTACGTGACAAGGAGTTGGGTCGTCTGTCCAACCTCGTGGGTTTTCTCCGGGTCCTCGGTTTTCCTCCCACTGCTAAAGACCCCTATGCGCAAGCGAATTATTGAAATAAAATTAAACCAAATGGTAGTCCCGAAATGGCCTAGTTTGTGTCGTGTGGACGATAAACCCCATTTCTCTCTCATTTCCTTCGCTTAAGCTGTGACTTTGGCTCACTAACTTGGAGGGGGGGGGGGTCGATCCGGGTGCGGGCCGAGAAAGTTCATCGGGATTTTCCAGCATGGCTCCCCCTTGTCTGTGGTGCAGGACAGAGGGCCTGATAAAGGACAAGTATAAAGTCGTTCGGATGGGTCGGAAATCGTGGTCAAGTGTACAAATTGGCGTGCATGTAATAGAACCCTTCACGCTGTACGGGGAAGATTCTCCTAATAGCCCTGTAGCTGCAGACCAGTATGACATTAAACCCAATTTCATTCCATAGCAACCTGGGTGAATTGACCGGACATCTAAGTCGCCGTTGGCGTATGCTCCGTTGTTTTCAATGGATTAGATACGCTTGTTGATATTATGTTTCTCATATCAAATACAACACATCCTTTTTAAACTTTCTTTTGAATTTCAAGTAATATTCGTTGCCCGTAATTTGTATGTATACTATTAGTAGGGGTCACAACCCCGAGATCCGTGATCAATTTTCAGGCACAAGGTTTAACGATGAATTCTGATAGAAGGGGCTCTATAGTGAAGATACATGGAGTTTGCTATCTCTGAAAACTACGGACCAACTTTAGGAGGGCCAACAATGGTCCGAAATAGAATTTTGCTTGATAACGGCGCAGCAGTCTACGCCAAATGTCTGGAGGGTTTGGTCGGCCGAATGGTTTAATGCTTTAGATTATACAATATGTCATTGAGTCACGTGGCGTGGTTTCGATTTTCCGCTTGTAGCCTCGGGGTGGTCTCCATTTTCGTCCCACTGCTAAAGACCCCTATACGCGGTATCAAAATCCCTTCAAACGCTTCCGGCAGTGCAAAATGTCCCTCAGGGCACACTGCATGGTGTATACATAAAATAAAAGGAGGAAATGATTATACATTTCCATAATAAATATGCGTTTTTGTTAATTTGTTTTTTAAAAAAAAAGATAATAAGTAACCTTTTTTGTTTAAAAAAATTATCTTTTCAGTCGTATTCGTTAGATTGTTATTTTCGTCAGACGTGGGTGGACAAAAGATTATCGATGAATATATCCCTAGAAAACGTATCACTGGGTATTAAAATATTGGAACGAATATGGCATCCAGATACCGTCTTTTATAACGGTCATAATTCCTATCTCCACATCATTACAACTCCTAATAAATTTCTCAGAATCAGTCCAGATGGTGGGATTCTATACTCTCAAAGGTAATTCTAACCCTTCATGGGTTTCTTTTTTTAAGCTTTTAATTCCATTTATAGCCTGTTTCATTATTGTATATCATATAATGTTAATCACGTTGTGAATTATGAGTTATTCAATGTAATAATAAGACTACAATGTCATCGTGACTCGTGCTCATGGTTGTAAAACGTGGATATACTGGGAAAGGATCAGGGCCGCTGGACAAACAATTGAAATGAAATGAAATTGGGTTTAACGTCCTACTTTCTGCTCCGATTGAGCTAATGAAAACGTTCATACTCCATACAGTGTGCTATGAGGGACATTTTGCCCGGACAGCGGCGCTACGGCCTACTTTTATATGGAATTCCAATGTGTGTACACGGAACCTCTGTTTTTCGTCCCATCCGAACGACTAGACAGCTGTCCTTGCCAGGCCTTTCTTCCTGTACCTTTCTAGGCCATGAGCACCGAGAGCGAACCCGCGGCCTCCAGGCTAGCGAGTCGCCGTCTTGCTCATCTAGCCACGGTTGCTCCCATGGACAAAGAAACAAATTGTCATTTTGTGACAAAAAATATTGTACGCTTTGTATGTTTATGGTAAAGTGTACAACAATTTGCAATTATAATTCGACAAGACAAGTACCATTTGTCCAATTATTTACATGTTTCCTTGTCTGAGTCATCCTGGCTAGATGAGCAAGACGTTGGCCCATTAATCATGAGGTCGATGACTCGAAAGTTCATTCCTCAGGATTTCCCGGCGTGGTTTTCCCTTCTTGTCAGTAGTGCTGGAAGAATATCTTAGCAAGGAAAGGTGTTTAGCCGTTCGCATGGGACGAAAATCCGAGGTAAAGTGTACTCGTTGGCGTGCGCGTAAAGTCTAGCACTGGTTGAGGGATTTGGTAGCTCACAGACCAGCCGCAAGAAATCGGGTGAAAAATTTGCATATGCAGGACCAATAGTCTCTACGGCCTGTTTGCGATTTTCTACGGTGCTGAACACACGGAAGTGACGCATAAGTCTCGCGCACAGGGTTACTAAAAAATTTCCCCCGTAGAATGCCCGTAGTAGCTTTAACAAAATCCCTTGAAACTCCTCCGTCATTCCAAAATGTCCCTTATGGCACACTGCATGGTGTATACACGTACGTCTATATTAAACCGGTTGATGCAGAAAGGATGAATGTTAATTAAACACCAGTTTATTTCATTTCGTTTTCATTCCATTCATCCTGAAAATATAGCGTGGTTTATAAATAACATAGCTGTAAGAATATCACCATCTCAGTAATTCTATTTTACTTAACCGCTGCAATTATTTCAATTCGATTTATTAAGTAAATAAATAACAAAAATATTAGTTTGTCAATAAATTTATCTCACAGTTGTCACTGGTGTGATCATGCACCTAATCTCCAAGAAAAAAAAATCACTTATAAAATCCAACGCTATATAATGAGTTACAGCTTTTTTGACTGCTTTATACACGAATTTGATTTATTGCGTCCATAATTCGTAAATGATGCGCATATTTTTATCAATTTGAAATGCATTAACGAAAAAGGTAACTTGTTTAGTGTTAATCAAATCGTTAAGAGTTTCATTAGATAACCGTATAACAATATTATTCACGGCTCCGTACTTCATGGATTGAGGTGGGCTAATTTCCTGTTTTCGTATAAATCATGCACATTAACTGACAGTTATTGACTATCGATTTCCATAAATATCAGATATTATGACACTCGCCAGCGACAATGAGCAGGAAATGACAGCAAAGACTCGGAATCATCACCGTATATCACGATTCACTGTCATAGATAAATGGCGCGTTATGCTCATGTTCATGATTTGCTTCCGTTCATATTGTTTGATACTAGACAGAACGTGTGGTTAACGTCACAATTATAAATCACAGGATACACGGTCCTCACCTGGATAATTTAATATATGACATATTGATAATATAATACTAGTCTCATTCATCCAGCATATGCAAGGCCATTGTTGCTGGGGTTTAACGTTTTACTTTTCTGTATCAAGGGAAATTTTGCCCGTATTCTATATTGTCAATGATACTTTTTTCTTGCACGTCGACGTGTAAACCTGACCTAAGTTTTCCATACCACCTAAACGACTTGACTGTCGTTCCTTTTCCAATTGGCATGATGAAACCACGCTAGAACACCCCGAGGAACGATACCAGGACCCTTTGGTTAGTGAGCCGGCGCATTACTCAATAAACCACCAGTGAATCCCTACTTTCATCTATAAAAACAATAGCAATATTTAAAGAAAAGCAAGTTTGTGGGTTCGATATAGGAAACTTGAATACATTTTAAAATAACTTCATGAAAACAAGTTTTTATAAGGAATTTTATCGTGTTATTTCCATTGTATTCGTAGCAGTATTTAACGATAAACAAGCTTGCAGAGATGGTGCATTGATTACGTTAGATTGGAATGAATTGTTCTTCAAAAAATATCCTGTTCTAGGTCCAGAATATCTTGCTGTTTACGTGACAGATATGAAAGGCAATTTAAAAAAATGAACAAGATAGCTAATTAATAATTCAGTTTTCATTTCACGTTGCATGACAAGCACCCACCAAGGTGGCCAATAAAACAATAGTCACTGACATTCGCAGATAATTAAGGAAATTGAAACTGGCGCATTCTTATGTTGTTACTTTTTTGTTTTGTTTTTTGTTTTTTGTTTTTTTCTGTGCGAAAATGTAAAACAAAAATTGTAGAACAATCTAATGTTCTTAATACCATAACGAATATGTATTATCCATTTTTGTTTGGCAAACATCATTTATTCCAGAAATAATAAGCTTACTCTGACCCGCACATGACACTCGTCACAGTCAATAGCGATCTGCAGCAATGATGTTTTAAACACATTTCGCGAATTATTGTACACCATCGAGAGTGACAATTCAGCGAAAGATCAATGCAAGTCTCAAAGTTGCATGGGGCAGAATATGCTTACTTTGTTTGGAACATCCGAAACTGCTTTCCAATCGGCGCTAGTTTTACCCTCAGGGTTTTATTGTCGATTAACAGGAGCCCGCTGTTGTTTAGCCATTAGGGAATTGAATTCTGGTCTAGAATTTAGCGATTTCGAATTCCGGTGGCAGTGTCGTAATTCCGATGGCACAAACCAATGGCGTCCATTCTTGTACAAATTTGCATACACATACCACACCCCTTCCAATAATTTAAAATTCAGCCAATGGCCATTTTTAACCAGTCCGTTATGCTAGGTCCTACTATCACGATTCACGCTACGATAGGTAATCGTAATGATCCTATCTGGTCTTATCATGTATTGAGGTCAGTCGTAGAAATCGTGTTGATCGTATCGAAACGTATCATAGCGTATCTGCACGTACAAGATCGTGGACTCAATAGGGAAAGTCTTATTGTAACACATCGGGCGACAGTGGGGACCTAGCGTAAGCAATATAACGATCCGTTAGAGTTTAACGAATCATTAAAATAGCTGAGTTTTGAGCAACCGGTCCCTGGTATTGACATGAATTTCAGTTAAATTTCTTTCTGTTCCAGGTTAACAATTCGAGCTAATTGTATGATGAATTTAAAGAAATTTCCTCTAGATGTTCAACAGTGCCCACTACGTATTGGAAGTTGTAAGTAAGATAAATATTTTTTAAAAAAAAAACATCATTAGCGCATTGGGAATCTTCAATGTTGTGTAAAATACAATGCTCTTAGATTAGCGTTTCGAAACTTATACGAGTCGTAATTACGTTTATCTTCTTTAAACAAGTAGTAATGTCCCTTAAAAGTGTTTCGGGATTATGATCAATCGTCTGAAACTAGAACGTCTAATTCCAGTTAAATGAACCGTCCAGAAGAAGGGAAGATGAGAAGAAGAGAAGAGACCGATTAATGTCCATTTATACTACGCGCGAACACGAAATCTGCGACTTTGCGCGAAAGTGGTCGTATTCGCTTTAAGAATTTGACTATGTATTAATCAAAATTGTTCGCGCAAACTGTTCCCAAAACTTCACACAGAAGGCAATCTCCACCATTTTCCGCGGGAACAAAACTCGACATTGTTCGCGTTAGCCGTCTGTGTAAAAAAGGGTTGCATTCAAATAGTAGTTGATCAGTCAAATGCGACCACCGCGTTCGTGTTCAGATTCGCGGTCGCGGTTGTGTTCGCGCTCCGTACGGACTTTAGACCCCTTATTGCGGCGTGAAGTGAAATGAAATGGGGTTTAACGTCTTACTTTTCTCTACCTTCTTTGGCTGTAAAAGCTTCGACAAATAAATCAACCACCCCAGTATTAATTTTTGCAAGCTTTCTAATTTTCTCAGATATTTAAATGCCGAAAGTTTTAAAACGAAAAACAGAGATAGAATCTTCCACACTTCCGTTGATGCTCTTTATTCTTTTCTGATTTAACTGTCAATGCTAAAGAAATAAATGATTCTCATTAAATAATTGTTAAATAAAGATTAAAGATCTTTTATCAAGCCTGATGTTAAGCCGGAGGGGGGAGAACAAATCTTAGAGCTTTAACCAGCCTTAAAATAACCAATAGGTCAATACGAAAGTAGGATAATTACACTTAAAAAACAAACCTTTTCCTCCATATTTTGTTAGATTTTAACCAGACATTGATTACCCGAGACCTTAAATCAGAACTTCTCATTTAACTGTTGACATGTCGATCGGGTTTATAGAATGTAAAAAAAGGTCGTAAAACTTGGACGTTAAACAGTGACATGTTTGAAGGTTTGAAGATATTTATCAGAGGCAATACACTACAATTATATGGTAAATTTATAAGGATTAGAACTGAATACTATTTGTAATTCTATTTCCACGGGGGCTCAGTAAAGGCACCGACTCGCTAACAAGGACGGTCCAAGTTCGATCCCGGTATTGGTCGAGGAAGTTCCTCTCATCGGGATGTTTTTCTAGCGTTGTTTCCTTTGTCAGTGTAGCAGACATGGTCTTAAAACATGGCAACACTTACATGTTAAGTTGCGCGTAAAATAAAACCTGACAGTTGTAAGTCGTCATGGAGTAGGCAAAAAAGATGTTGTCGGACACGACGTATGCCCATCTTTATTACCCGGTTGGGACTAAAAAGTAAAGCGTTAAACATTATTTCCATTCATTTCATTTCTGATTTGATATTAGATTTTCGCTGTATATTTTTTACCATAGCTTATCTCGCCTACATATCAACGGCATGACTGGACAACTTAACAGCCTTTCTGTCTGGTCATCTGTATTGAGGTTTAATTTTAGGTTCATTGGTTTCTTAATATTTCTCAGAACATCATGCTTATTATGAATTATGTTGAATCATTGGTTCTTGTCCAACTCAATTAGTAATATAATCATTTACTGTCACGACATTCTTCATGCTTTCATTTCTTTTTAAACCTTGGGGAAATCCCACGGTCGTCTTTCAGTGTGATTTACTATATCCGGCGCCATTGAAGGGCGATGTCACAATATGTCATAGTCAGACGACCAGAAAGATACAGCTATCTTCTTATATATGAATTGTCGAGATTTATTTATCTCGATTGACTAATAGAAACTCTATATGATAAAAACATTAATGTCTCTTAGTTTATATACTAATGTCAGCTAGATTGTATTCATTCTATCAATGAGATAACGTTAATCTGAATGATATTTACTGTCGGCAGAAGAAAGACGACAAATCGACTTTGAGGACAGGGTGGCTGCGAAGAGTTGCCATGACGAAAGCGGTCAAACGGGAATCATGGTGCCATCTGAAAGCTGTCTATTGTGATAAACTTATACACTTACTTATATGGAAAAACGCTTGGCGACGAACAGCGGCTAGTCGTTCGGATAGGACGAAACACTAAGGTCCCTTGAATATTATTTCTTCATTATTAATTCAGTGTTTCGTATTTCAAATACAAAGATGTATAATGTAAGAGCTAAATCTTAATGTTGCATAAATTATTATTTATTGACATGACAGGCCCATAATCAACTCTCCAGACCATCGGCCGTGATTTTTAACGGATTGAAACACGGTCGACATTTAATAATTAAATTTAACGATTGATATTGAGGACTTATTATTATTGTTTATTATTGCCACCATGGTAACACCAAGACTACACTATTCTTATAAACACTTCCAGCATTTATAACTTCGCTCAGAAGAAAGTTTTAAATGAAATGGAATGGGGTTTAACATCCCACTGTTCTTCTCCGACTGGGCTAATGAAGACGGAGAAACGTCATACAGTGTGCTATGAGGGAAATGTTGCCCGGACAGCGGCACTACGGCCTACTCTTATATCGAATTCGAACTGCCAAGGGATCTTTTACTTGCACGCCAATTTGTACACGGGACCTCGGTTTTTCGTCACATCCGAATGACTTGACAGCTGTACTTGTCAGGCCATCCTTCCTCTACCACTGACAAGGGGGCCAACACCGGGAGCTAACCATCCACCTCCAGGCTAGCGAGACAGCGTCTTACTCACTTAACCACTGTGGTTTCCTCCGAATAAAGTAATTTGAAATTTCAATATATCACCTCTTAAACTATTATAGCAAGAACTGTCATGTCCCGAGCACACTATGATCTGTAAAGCGAGAACTGTCATCTCCCGAGCACGGTATGATCTGCAGTAATAAAACTTAAAGCCGCTGATCATCATTTGGGCATTTCAGATTGATTATTTACCACCCACATCCCCCCTCCCCCTGTCAGACCGGTGTGGCGTCTTTACTGCGACGGAAAATGGTCTCAGAGCGCGTCAAGTCGCCATAAGCGTGGTAAAAGCGTGGCGGAAACGCCAGAGATCGTGCGGTGGTCTCCATGGTCGCCAATGATCAACACATACGCCAAAGTTCTGCGATCTGACTCTTTTCAAGTTTGTAATTTTTGGGTCGTAGCAGCGCAGTAAGGACGCCACCCGGGTGCGACGTGGGCATTAATAATGAACGGCTTGGATTACAAATAGGTCTATCAAAACATTTTAACGACAATCATAGTTGCAATGGGCTTGTGTAGACTATATCCTATATCTTCTGGTGTTGGTGGTGAATGGTGACAACATTCAGTTCATCATGTCTTTGTAAATACGGATTACTGATATTCCCTTCAGATGTCCAACTTTCACCATATTGTAGTTTGGAAGGGATTTACAATATTATGTACTTTCTGTTTTTCTATTTTCAGTTGCTTATTCGACGGCTGATGTATTCTATAAATGGCGAGCCAAGCTGACGTCACCAGTTGATATATATCCTCATCTGACCCTGTCTACTTTCGATTTAATTGGCTACCCAATGACCAATTACACAGATATTGTAAAAGGAGGTGGGTCACTTTCGTCTTGTCCAGTCTGTGACGATATTAGTGAGTTCTATATCAGTGATGTCGAAAGGTTAAATTGTAAATCAGGACCTTTCGCTTAACCAATTCGTTTATGTGGTGTTTGTGTCATTGGCTATTTGTAGACCAATCCATAAGGAACGAACTGGACATTCTATTTTTGAAATACATGTAACGTATAATTTTGAAAATAATGAATGAATGAACGATTATATATTTATACAACCACATTTTAGATGGAAATATATTGTCGTTACCCCAGCCTGTCTGTCCGGCTGCATGTTTAAAACTTTTGTAAACGCTCTACAGATTTCGGTTTTAGTTTTTATTAATAATTTTTAATTCAACCTTGTTCGGATGGGGATTCCAAGTTGTGCGTCGAATGTTTGCGAAATTATCACCTTTGTCATCGAAACAGCGCAGACGTTTTGCAAGTAAGAGATATTGCGATTTCTGTTTCAAGTTCCCTGGGAATTTTTTGGCTTGTCGAAAGTTAGAGTTAGACAGTAATGTGTCGTAGGATTAATTACAAATATATTTTTCACTTTTGCTGGAACTGTTTGTCAAATCATACGGAGGAACTTCAATTTATGCGGATTTAGATTCCAAGACAACGAAATATTGACTGTGATGTGTGAGGAAAGGTCATTTTTGTTTTTAAGAAAAATAAGAAAAGTTCAGATGTTCGTGAAGAGCAATCGTTTTGAAATTAAAGCTTGACCATAAACTTTCTGCGGTGCTATATTGTCACCGTTCAAGAAACCTAGAAAGCAAGTCTTCCAAATGCCGCTAATAGATTATATTGGTTGCCTGGCAACAGTATGTTGTAATTAGGATGTAATTTAATTTCCAAAATTAGTAAGCGCAATTTAAAAATAACTGTGATTAGTTATTTTTGATTATCGTAAAAGAATATTTAACAGTTATTTTTTATTTTCGTAACTGATTAATGAAACAAACTTTGCTGCTGTGAATACTGATTTGCTTTAGAGTTTTAAAGTTGTACTGACTTGACCTTTCATTCCCTCAGATTAATTCTTACGCTATGGATACACACAACCTATTACGTTGCTGGAATATAAAATGTTATGTATCTTGTTATATCTCTGTCCTGTACCCAGTTGAACTTCCCGTCTTCAAATTAACACTAACAAAAAAACGTATTACGTTGAAGGAATATGTAATTGTGTATATCTATAGTTGGGTTTAGTTACAGTCTGTAGGTTTATTAAAGTTGATATAATGTAGAATCAAGGAACGTGTTTTTCACAATACTGAAATGAAATCGGGTTTAACGTCCGATTGCTTCACTCACTGAACCAGATTCATAGAGCGGGGTATTACTTGAATTCATTGTGCCATCATGTGATACTGTATGTTCTTACTTTAACAACAGGCGGGGGGCGCGAACGGTTTAAAGCCTGCGTTTAAGATCATAAGGTCTGGCATTGAGTCAACTGGCGTGGTTTCGATTCCCAGCTTGTACGTGACAAGCAGAATGATCACCTTTTTAACCTTTTGGGTTTTTTTACCGGATCACACGGCTTCCTCCCACTGTTAAATATGTTTACGCGCAAGCGAATTATTGAAATACAATTGAACCATTTGTTAGTCCCCAAATAGCCCAGTTTATCTATCCTTACTTGTACAAAAGGGCTCTTTCACTGTTTTCACTCCTTACTTTGTAGACATCGTCTAATTTTGTATTTCCACCATTATTTATGACAGTTTCTGTGTTTTAAAGAGAAACCTGTATTATATGCTGTTATATGCTGTAACCCACAGTGTTTTTTTAATAGACCGCAAGTATTAGCAAAGTTATTAATAAAACAGCTTTTCTTTTATGTGTTTCAGAATTACATTCCATATTAGCTGTGAAGTTTTATCTACGACGTCATGCTGGTTATTTTATTATACAAGTGTATGTACCCTGTGCCTTATTGGTTGTCTTATCCTGGGTTTCGTTCTGGATCAACAGAGAAGCAACAGCCGATAGAATAGCTTTAGGTTTGTAAATATACATAGTAATATATTTACTGGGCCTTTCACAAATGCAATGAAATGGGGATGAACGTTCTATTGTTCTGGGTGGGGGTGGGGGATGGATGGCCGAATGGTTAGCACGTGCGCACTGTATCAAAAGGTCTGTCATTGAGCCAACTGGCGTGATTTCGATTCCCCAGTTGTACGCTAAAAGGAGTCGGGTCGCCTGTCCAAAGCCGTTGGTTTTCTCTGAGTCCTCTGGTTTCCTCCCACTGCTAAAGACCCCTATGTGCAAGCAAATTACTGAAATAAAATTGAACCATGTGTTATTCCCGAAATAATCTGGTTTGTGTCGAGTGGACGTTACCCCCCTCTCTCTCTCTCTCTCTCTCTCTACCTCTAACGCCCAAACGACACAAACTTTTTTATATCTGGACTATTACAATTACAGAGCAAGCTCATATTATGTATCATATCTTCAACCAAAACCAAAGCTCCTAAAATCGAAGTGTATTATTTCTTTACCAATATAGCCATTTCTATCCTAAAGTATTATGTAACCAAATATTCAAATATATTCCAGTCTATAATCAGCGTTTATTTGTGTCGAGTGGACGTTACCCCCCCCCCCTCTCTCTTTCTCTCTCTCCCCCTCTCTCTTTCATGGAGTATGCTATGAGGGAACATTTGCCCGAACAGCGACGCTTTTATATCGAATTCCAACTGTTAAGACATATATTTTACATGCAGGGACCGTTTAGTTACCTCATAGAAAGCTTTAGGTTAGTAAATATACACACCTTAGAAATGCATCTACAAGGCCGTTCAGTCAATAAATAATACATTTAGCCATACATTTATGGGGCCGATGAGTTAGTAATATATGGTTTAGTGTCTTTAATGATACTTTTTTGGAGCCGTTCGGTTAGTAATGTAGCTAAGATAGTACCTTTAGTTATATATTTGCGGGGCCGTTTTGTTGGGTCGGCAATATATTTTGAGGGTCGTTCAGCCAGTCATGCATTTGTCGAGCAGTTCCTTTATTAATATATCCAGGGGTGGGATGGAGGTTGGGATATTAATGTATTTGGTAAATTGGCCCATAGTAATACATTTACCGATGGTCTGTGCATACCATTGGCAGCACTTTACATATCCCCGGGGAATCGAAATAAGAGTCGACCCTGACACCGTTATGAAGTCACAGTTGTCCCTAAAATAGGAAATAAGCAGCTTCGCGGCATGTTTTAAACGACTCCATGGCAGTAGTAATGTTAACAGAATTGAGTCTCAATTCCTCGCCAAATAATCCTTTATTATGAATTCGTGAACTTTATTTAATCCGAGGTGTAACTTGTTGGGGAAACTTTCATTTCCCTTTCGCCATAGAAGCAGATTGACAATAAAGCCTAAAAAGTTCAAGTTGAAAGAAATTATTCTTATTGGCGTGCTGTGCTCGCACATCTGTAAAATCGGTCTCTTTTACTTGAAACCCTTGAAATGTCATCGCAAATGAATGAAAACATGAAAGCATTGATCGCCCCAGGGCATGCTTCTTGGTGATCCATGTATTCTAGGGTAAATTGGCAAATTGGTGAAAGATCTGAAGAACAAAACAGTAAGGGAGTAAATCTTCGGTTTTTGTTCTGTTTTCTTACTCTTCGATGTTTTTAGTGAATTTGTTGTGTTAAGTCTGTTGTTTACCTGGATTTGGTTACAAACTAGTCGACATCAAAGTCTGGGATTAATCAACTTAAAGACTCGTTTATTGAATACATCAAAGGCGGCTTTTCGAATAATTGCCATTGATAGAGGAAATTGTTCACGGCAACCAAGCCATCACACGATAACAGGAAAAAGACAATTTTGTGACCTTGTTCATTCTAAGTTTTTTTTTCTTTAATTTGTATAAGGATAACTGTAAGTGTTTCTCAAAGTGACTAAAATAGAATGTCGATGGGACTTGTTTGGTACATGTGGCCTAAGTAAAATAATTTGAGAGCATATAAAAATGAATGAATGAAATGGGGTTTAACGTCCTACTGCTCTGCACCGACTGGGCTATTGAAGAGGGACATGGGGGAAATTTTGCAAGGACAGCTATTCCAGCTGTCAAGGATTCTTTTACGTGGAACTATTTTAAACCGAGGTCAGGTGTACACATTGGTGTGCACATAATAGACCCCTCTTTAGTTGGAATTCGATATAATAGTAGGCCACAGCACCACTGTCCTGGCAAACTTCCACTCATAACACACTGCATGGCGTATGTCTGTCGTCATTCACTAGTCGCAATCGGTGCAGAATAGTAGTTTAACGTCCGCTTCAACCGATAGTGATATCGCAAACAAGTTGCCTTATTTTATTATGCTTAGTGCAAGAGTTTGAGAAGGCACCCCTTTCTCCAAGACACATACACGCTCACACCTGGGATCGAAACCAAGACCGAAAGACAGAGGTGATTGGCCACCTAGAGCTCGAAGCGCGACACTCTAGACTACCTTGGCCATCCCAACCCCGGTCTCAAATTTATAAAACGTGGTCGTATCTATTAATCATGCGGGCTAACATCGGTTCATCCGACGTGAACCACGCAACTGACACAATGCTTACCCCAGACTGAACTTGAATGACCGTTAAAACCTGGTTAAAGTGAAACGGGTCTCTCAGCCATTGTCTGTATGGTATTGTCTGTCCGTTATTAAGTGGCTTTATACTTCCTGTTTGTAACTTCCCTTAACGTAACCATTAAACACAAATTCTCATTCAGACACGGTTAACGAGATTTATTTGAAACTACCGAAATGTTAAAGATGAAATTTCACAAGTTTCTTGTACTCAGTATAGCTGATGCTAACTATTCCAATAAATTCTGTTAATTCTGGAATATCCCGAAATGAATTGAAATCGGGTTTAAGGTTCTACTTTTCTGCACCGACTGGGTTGATGAAGACGGGAGTACGACATATATTGTGCGTAGGTCTACTCTTATACTGAATTTTAACTGTAAGGATCCTTAGCGTCTATACCAATGTGTACACGGGACCTCGATTTTTGTTCTATTCGAACTATTATACGTTGCCCCTTGCTAAACCCCCTGTCCTGCACCAATGACAAGGGGGAACCACGCCGGAAATACCCGACGAACTTTCTCGGCCAATACCGGGATCGAACACAGGACGCACTGTCTTACTCACCGAGCCACCATAGCTCCCTAACTGGGATATCCTATCCAGGAGAGTAATCTTAACTACGGAAAGTTACCTAGACTGTTGCCCATACTATTAGCCTTAGTGACGTTTACTATTGACGTCAGAAGAACATACCGCTATAACATAATATTGTATAGACATTGGCTGCTCACAGCGTCAGCATTTGTTATCATGGCAAGTTTCTACAATCACCTTTAATGTTTTAAGTTCAACCAGACAGTTTTTTTTTATGCTTCATTACCCGATATTGTTTTCCAAACTTTTTGTCTGGGATATTTTTTTTTGTTGAAATGTCACTATCATGAGTTGATAAACTTTGACTTTAATAAAGAACAAGACCAGGAAGAGGCATCTGTCTCTTCCAGTCAATATGAACAATAAAATATGTTAGAGGTTATTTTAAATATGTCCACCATCTGCCACTATTGGCTTCTATATGTTCTTCATTCTAACCCGTTTTTTTAAACAGAATGTAAACCAATTCCCGGTTTCGACTCCAGTGTAGACCGACACAAGACATCGGGATTCCCCATGGCGGTTTCTACTTCTCAGTGGTGCGAAATGTTGAAGTCTCGTGTATACGTTTAAGTCGTGAACGCAAAAGAACCCTTTAGGGTTAGAATTCGAAACAAGAGTAGGCCGTAGTTCCGCTGTCCGGGCAAAGACTCCCCTATTGCACACTGTATTGCGTTAGGAGCAGAACAGTAGGACGTTAAACTCCATTTCATTTCATTTCATTTCATTTCGTATTGCGTATGCCCGTCTTTATTAGCTCAGTCGGGATAGACAAGTCGGACGTTAATCACCATTCTATTTATAAGAAACCAAAGTGGGTAAAAAGAGAAGATTATTTAAATAATAAAATTTCCATTTTGCACCATCGTTTCCCCACAGCCCTATTCTGTCTGAGTAGTAGACATTATAATAATTTTAGTCTCTCAATATACACGTAAATAGCGATACGAATGGGAAATATTTAAAGGAACCTATTTTGTTCGAAAAGGAATGACATACGGTGTTAAACCAAATTCCTCGTTCTTGATGAAAGTTCTAATGCCGCTTTAAAAGTTAATATTTATATTTGTTTTAATTTCAGGAACGACAACTACGTTAACTATGACCATATTAGGTATAGAAAATAGAAACGATTTTCCAAAAGTATCCTACATTACCGCCTTAGATCTATATATAGCCGTGTGTTTTGTGTTTGTTCTTTCAACAACTGTAGAATTCGCCATTGTGCATTCTTTTACCAAATATGGCACTGGAGAACCATTGTTACCAGAATCTACTGATGATGAGGAAAGTGAAGAGGAAGTGAGTATAGATGAATAATTTTATGAATCAAAAGTTGTCATTAGAAACTTTTTTTTTACTATAGATTATTTAAAGATGGGTTTCACAGAAAATGTATTTATCGGGTGGTTATTTCCAATAAAAGTATGGCAATTTTGGTATATATGGAAAGTAGAGATATCCAATCTTACTAGAAAAATACTGGATTCCCCGAAAAACACTCATGGAGCGTATACAGGACAAAAATGTAAGGCTTCCCCTAATCGACAGCCCGACGATTAGGAATTTCTGCACGCGTGATGTCAAAGGTCACACGCGAACATTGAGCGCTTGATGTACAAGTTGATAAACTTTATGAAGAGTTAGACGTATAACACTTTCTGAGATAAAAATGACGGAAAAAGACGCGGGTAGTGGATAATTTGAGAATTTAATTAGGATTCGATATTTGTAATAAACAGTAAGCGATTAAAGACAACATAGTCTTATGTATACAATGAATTCTACTCTGACTTCCAAGAGAGGTAAGTCACTTGACGTAAACATGACCTGGTTTGATCGAATTTTTATAGCACGGCATTCCTTCGCAATTACAATGTTTGAGAAGGATTTGAAGCAAAATTATGACAAATTAATTAGTTTGAATATGTTTTTAGTTTTTACCGGGAAGGTATCTTTAATACATTTATTCAACGTAATAAGTGTTCAGATGCACTTAACGGGCGTTGGTTGGCCGAATGGTTTATAAGGTCTGTAATTGACTCAAGTAAAGTGGTTTAGATTTATCGCTTGTACGTTACAAGGAGTAGGTTTTCTCCGTGTTCGGTTTATTCCCACAGCTAAAGACACCTACGTACAAATTAAAATAAAATTGAAGCATACGTTAGTATTGAAATGACCTGATTTGTGTCGAGTTGCCCTTAAACCCCATTTCTCGCTCCGTTGCGCTTAACAATACGTTATTAAGTTCTATCGTATGTGCGAGCTACACGATTCGTTATTATAATTTGATTATTACAACAAGTTATTTATGACAGAAAAGATTTATTTATATTCCTGAAACACATTCTATAAGTAATTGACTATATTTATATACTGTAAATAAATTATTCCCGAATGTTACCTGATTGATTAAATGCAATATGAATTATTAATTATACATTTATTAACATGACAAGCCCAAAATCAACTTTCTAGACCATCGGATGGTTGTGATTTGGGGACGGATTTAATAATTGATATTCAAGATTTTGTTTTTTATCGTACCAACATTAGCAATGAAAATCGAGACTACACTATTCTTATCAAAACTACAAACATTTATACCTTCGCTCGGAATAAAGTAATTTGACTCAAATTTTCACTGTATTCGCTTTTCATTATCTATTTTAAAACTATTATAGCGAGAACTGTCAGTTCTTTATCTAAATCTTACAAAATTGCGCTTATGGATTAGATTAAAATGTAGTATTTAAAATACATATTGCTAGCCGATTCGTAATGTAAGGTAACATAATAAATCAAGATTTTATCCCCACAGGATAAATTGTGAAAGAAAATGTTTTAAAAATCTGGACACTACTTCTGTATCTTATTAGTTATATGATTCGTTATTTAATCAAACCAATACTTCCGCTCGTTTAAGGTCAATAGTATTCTTTGCCACATGAAAGTATCCTGAACATTGAGACCAACAAAATAAACAAAAATGTTATTTTTTTCCTCTTAATTTCCGGCTTACTTGAAATCCACTGTTAAGTAAAAAGCCTATAATAGGCAATGTATATGATCATTGGTGTATTTAAATGGATTTATCTGGTCGGTTTATAGAAAAACGTTTAAAAGCGTGATGAGATATCGATTTGTTTAGTATCACTTCTTTTTATCTCCCCCCTTTTTTGCTCTTCTATCAATGAAGATAACATGCAGGTGGATGAGGGGTTTTAACCTTCCTTTCTTTTCTTTTCTTTTTTTTTTGAACGATATTGTAAGGAATCGCTAAGATTTACTGGGTTTTTTTATTCTCTTATAAATAAAGACCTTACATTGAATTCTATATATTTTTGGGTTTGGAGTGTCTGTCTCATTTCCGCATACAGACGACATTGCTCTTTTTTTCTGGTACACGTGTTCTAATTTTGAAAATCAAACGTTGGTCGTAATTCTTCTGGTACACGTGTTCTGTAACTATTGGCAACTGGACAGTGTAAATAACAGCCATACATGAATCATAAATGGTTTAGAAAATTAGAAAGCCATTTTTATTGACCATGGTTAATGCGGACGGGACTTTGAATCCCAGCGGTCACGGAAATCTTACTGATTATCGGACATGCTAATTCATTAATCGACTTCTATTCGAATAATATATTCAACTAAAATGATCAATTTTTCTGGAAACAATGACCTGTTCAAATGAATATTGTCCTGCATTTGTTTGTTTAATTTTAATTAATGGATTTCATTATGATATTGTACATTATATACATAAGACCGATTACATTTCATCAGTTAACCACAAACCGAATACTAAACGGTCTGAAATGCCAATAGAATTCGAATATTCAAATACTTGCGTGAACACAAATTCAGATAGCTTAGAATTCTAAATTTTGGTCGGTTGAATCTCCCATATCTTTAAGACTTATTAATCATATTGGGAATTTAAGCTTTATTAATTATATTGTGAATTTGAGCCATTAATATATTAATGATTTGTGTATTTACAGAATATGAACTTATCAGGAAAATGTGATTTAGAAGTTTTAGAGATGGAGAGAATGAAAATAGAAGGACATAACAAAAGACGTTCTAAAAGTTTTTTGGCGCTGCTGTGTCAGTGTTTAACTGGTACAAAAACTGGATTTAATCGCGTGAAAACTGGAACCGTGGGGTTACACGATCTTAGCAACAGTGTTAGTCAAATTGATAAAGTGTCGCGTGTGCTATTCCCGGTAGTATTCATAGTTTTAAATCTTATTTATTGGTTCGCCTATATGCCATAAAAATAACTATACTCGTCTGGATCAATGTTACTTCTAAACGAGACAATTTGAAAAAATGTAAATTGAAGAGTCCAATAAAAGAAAGGCGTGTCAGAGGAACGGAAACGCATTAACTTAACAACACAATTGAATGCAACATTGACAGTTGAAATTTATTAACTCAGATGAAACTCGATATGGGACCTCGCGGAAAAGGTCATCAGCAAATGATGAAAATGGATAGGACTGACATTGATTTGGTGGCCGTGACCTGCTACCAAAAATAATTGCATGTGTCTTTTTATTATGAGTTGAAATTGAAGCAAACTTGAATCGTTTATGGTCATGTTTCCTGAATAAAAGTAGAAAAGTTGTAATACTGGGCGATAACCGGCAAAAATACGACATGGCTTTAGTTTCTAATTAATTGAAGTAGGGTTTTTTTTTGCTACCGTTTGTTGAAGTGTTTCTTGTTACAAGAGTACAGACATATTGTGAACAGTTTTATTTATCACTAAATCAGGCGATACACTAATCCGCATTATAAGGTAACAATTCGATCCAAAAAAAACCCTGAGACTCTGGCCATCTTATCCAAATAGACGACAAATGTCATCAATATAACCGCAACAATACCTTATAGATTCAAATGTGTCACATTTTCTTTACCCAAAATAAACACGAGACCGACTTTTATACGCAAGAATCTTACAACTTGGTACTTTCAGACAGAACGTACAACTCCAAGACATGGGTCCAGATATATCGAATTAAACTTGTCGAATTGAATAGGTAGCTACTGTTGGAACAATACTGTCTTGACCATTTAGTGATATCATGTATTTAAACTTGCATACATGCGCATTTCAGATGTATGAATACGATGTAGCAGGCAGGTTTGGAGATGAAACTGGCCGATTTATTTTTTCTGTGGCCCTTTTCTACGGGTGTGGCCATTCTAGGAGACTACGGTTGTGGCCCTCTCTCTCTGACTGGCAAATTACTCTATAATTTATATATGCTATGGAAATCAACCCACCATGTACACAACTGTAATATAAGACGTTAACGTCTACAGTTGTCATCAAGAGTATGATAATAAATCAAGACTACAAGTAGCTACATTTGACAAGTCCATCATGTAATATCTGACATGTCATTATTAAATGTAGGCGGTGTGGACGGACAGCAGAAAGCACTTTGATATATTAGTTATATGAGAGGTTTGTCTACAATTGCAGTTGACAGATTAGCCATCTTGGTTCCTATTTAATATCTGCGATGACCATGAACTATTATTGACCGTCTCAGCTGTATACTCTGTCTTTTCCTTATTAAATTTTACAAGTACGATCTTTCCAGTGTCTGGTTTGTAATTATTAAAATGTGTTATATCCCAGGATGTGGATAACACCTGATGTTTTAGCCGAGTTTAGGAGCAGAACAGTAGGTCGTTAAACCCCATTTCATTTCATTTGTTATCCGCGATACCACATCGTTTTGGGAAGAGGACGTTAAAGTGAATAAATCTCTAACTCAATATTATCCATAATTGCTAACGTCTTACTCGCCGAGCGACTGTACAAACGACTGATATAACTGATTAAAATGAAATTAAAAATGTCAAAAATTGAATATAAAACAGTTTACCTACATTCATGTTAATAATGTGCTTTACGGTCCACTTTGGTCATTATTCGTTTCTACAGAAAAGAGAATCAGCTCCTATAAATAAAGCGATTTCTCACACACACACACTCCTGATTTCGTTTCCAAACCTGGGTAGTCAACACAAAGTATTGTTTACTGGAATGTTCCGGGTTCGACAGGACTGTCGGGATTTGTCAGGCTCAGTTTCCACCTGTCAGGATTGTGGCTGCGACCAGTTCTTTTGATAGGACGCAAATACGACAACGACAGGAGTACACATTAGCGTGCACGTAAAAGACAACTTCTCTGTTAGAAATCGAATATGGGCCTTTATTAACCATGCTAGTTAGTTAGCAATAATGTAGGGTCCAAACGACAACTTTTCCCATGAAACTAGTAGTCAGGTCAATATAAGGAAAATACCTCCTCAACCCCCCCCCCCCCCAAAAAAAAACAACAATTGCTACAAAAGGTTTCTCAACTACTAAAAGTTTACCAAAGTAAGACCCCCGGAAAAGTGTTTTTTTCAAGATGGCGTCAAAGATGACCACCGAAACGTCTTGATGATCATAACTATGTCACTGTCAAGTCAAATTTGATGATCTTGGTGTCTTTCCCTAGGTTTTTTGGGACACAGAACACATTAAGATCATTAAAAATGATGTTGGTCTATTATGTCAAAAATGGCCGCCAAAACCTCCAAATGACCGCAAGTCCGTACCTATTGACTCAGATTTGACGATCTTGATGTCTATCCCCAGGTTTTAGAGGACAAGGAACATATTAATAGAACTTTGGATATCACTGAGCTGTTGAATTGTTGTTGTTGTTGGGGTTTTTTCGGCAGGGGGGGGGGGGGGGGGTGAGGAGGTATTTTCCATATATTGACCTGACTTCTAGTTCCATGAGTTAAGTAGTATGTTATAAGGTACACCAAACCCTGCCAGCATCAATTAAGAAACCTTTTGTAGCAATTTTGGGGGTTTAAACTGTATTTTGACCTGACTATAGCATGTACAACATATACAAATTTAACCATGTTACTGGGTCATCAGCTTGGAATGGATGCAACTAACTCAAAAGTTCCTGAAAATCTACTTGCTCATAATCAATTGACAGATACCTGTCTCAAGTCCAGGGCTTGGGTAATAAATCTTCACATATTCGACAATTTGATTGACTTGTGTAACTTTCATTTTCTATTCGGTCTATTAAAGTTAAAAAGGGATACGAACAAGTTCATCAGGATTGCCAATATTTTTTTTTCAGGTTTTAGTTAAGAAACTATGTCTTTAATCTACTGTCCTCAATATCTCGATATATCTTAGTCATAAAACAGGTTATATCTGCAAGATCGATTCTTGGAAACCTTTACTAACACTGTTGAAATATAATAATTTTACACCGTAATAAAAACATTTAGATTTCATGTGTGCTTGGCGATAGGTGTCCAATAACAACAGGGGAGAGTGTGTGTATGTGTGTGTGTGTGGGGGGGGGGGGGGTCTAACGCATGCCCTTTAGGTCAAGTGGCGTAGTTTCGACCTCACGCTTGTACGCAACAAGGAATCGGGTCGACTTCCAGACCTAGGGGTTTATCTCCAGGTACTCCGGTTTCCTACCACCGTTAAAGAACCCGATGCGCAAGTCAATTATTGAGATAAAATGACATAGTTTCGGTCGAGTGGACGATAAACCCCATCTCTCTCTCTCTCTCTATACCTCTGTGTCATTTCTGGGCTATTACAACTATATTATGTATCATATCTCCAACCAAAACCGAAGCCCCTAAAATTGAAGTGTATTATTTCTTTACCAATAAAGTCATTTCCATGTTAAAGTATTTTGTAACCAAATATTCAAATTATATTCCAGTCTAATCAGCGTGTATTTCAATTATATGATAAAGTCCTGATTCGGAGATGAAACAGACATTAGCGATTTTCAGGATTGGCAGGACAATTGTACACTAGACTACTAGCTACCTAATATAAATTCTACATTTCGACGGTGACAAAGAAAAGCGTCTAGTCGTTCTGATGGGACAAAAACCCGAAGTCTCGTGTACACATTGACATGCACGTAAAATAACTCTTGACGGTTGGAATTCGAAACAAAGGTATGTCGTAGTGCCACTGTCTTGGTAAAGTTACTCTCATAGCATACTGTATGGCGTCATTGGCGAATGCCTGTCTTCAGAGCAGAAAAGCAGCATGTTAAACATCATTTCATTTACATTGTTTATCATACTTTTGATGGGTGCGTTGAGAAAACAGAGGGCTCCTTTACGTGTGCGCATAGGATCTCGATTTTTGTCGAGCTAAGGCTCTATTGGCGAGATACTACATTGATTGTTTTAGTCTTTCCCACGAAGTCTTTTGCTATTAGATTTAATAAGTGGCTTGTCCTGGTACGAACAGGAATGTAGAAGAGAAACAAGGAATACGATTACTCAGGCTATTCACCACCCATATTATATTGTTCGTGAATTAAGTGGCTCAGCGATGAGGAACTGTCTATCCGTTATTCAAACAGTATTTGAAATCAATACTTGAATGTCAGTTTGGTCTCAAGGTCCTGATAAACCTCCTCCATTGTTGATAAATAATCACCAAAATACTTAACTCGTTTGGAAATTTCATTTTCTTGAAAGCCCTTCTAACTGAAGTTATGTGGTTTTCTGCTTACCTCAAATTTAAATCAATATGTTTTTCTGTTTTCTTCAACACTAAATTTTTGTTTTTGTGCTTTCAAATTTACATCAATCTTGTTTTTAGGCATGGCTATTGTTCAGTCATGGCTATTGTACATTAAAATTTTAAAGTTTGACTCCGGGGCCCCGTTTGAATCTGTAGCTATAGCTAGCAGAACATGATGGCCATGTTATATATATATATTTATACGGCGGTGCTTTGATAGATGGAATTAACAGAAGTTTAGGACAAACCATCGTTGAAATCATTAAAACAACATGATAATAATTGTTAGATTTGTTCACTTGCCACATTCTGGGATAGCGAATCTAGAATGAGTAAAACCATACTCTGCTTGTTACAAGACCGGTATCCCTATGATCATGTGACCGTTTCACGGCAATTTACATCCCGGGGTTGGTAATCATAATAATATGATTAAACAGAATTCCTGGACGCATATAACATTCACGGCCCAATATACGATATAATTGGTCAGTTAAGACGGAGTGTTGCCATTATTAGTATTGGAACATCGAGGTCGTATTTCAAATATGAATTGTTCACGGTATAACTTTAGCTAAACTTTTAACCACGACAAGTAATGGGACAAGGACAGTATTCATATTAATACATATTATTTTTAATAAATACCGTTGATTATAATATGATATATGCTATGTTTAAAATGGCGTTTGACAACAAGATATCTACCATCATAGATAATCGCATTAAACTTGATTAGGTTGTATCATATGGCAGTATTATACGCGACTTTGTAAACCGGGGCACTAGACGAAAACGCAGGCGTGATTATCCAGACGACCGTTGTCCTTTTCACGTACAAGTGTGGGATCGACACCCCTCAATGCCAAACCTCATGATATATTCGTCCACCACACCTACACCCCTATAAAGAGGGAAGACAACAATTAGACAACTGTCAAGTAGACCAATACTCTAGAGCTGAAACTCCAAACATTTTGTGACCAATTTACGGTAATTGTTTCTATGGTCACATGCAATAATATTGAGGGAAATTTTGTCATCAAATTCCAAACAGCAAGGGTATTTTACGTGCACACGAATGGGTCTCTGTTTTCCGTCCCGCCCAAACGACTAAACACCCTTTACTTGAAGGATATTTTCAGGGGTGTTTGAGTAGAGTTATGCCCCCTCAATTGACACTGACAATTGGCCATGGATGAATGTTAATTCTCGTCTCTTAGACCGGATCTAACGATTTCCAAAATATTCGTTGGTTTCGTTGACTTGAAGCTTTCTACCAAAGATGAGTAACATGTTCATCATTGAAAACTTGAGATATACAAACTGGAAGTAGAGGCAACTAAACGTGCAACTTTCTGCCTTACATTTCAACCTAACTAACCTCTTAATTGGGGTGGGAGGATGGAAACGGATAATTGGTAGGAATAATTGGTGACCTTTGTCAAATTAGCAAATCTCTTCATCAATCAATTTACACGGCGTTCTAAGTTACTGCGTAAAAGTTTATTTCCTGATATCCTATTGATACGATGAAATCCCTGGAGTCTCAGATTGAGTAAGACACACTAGCTCGCTAACCAGTATGTCGCGAATAAGTTCCCGCTGTTTTCCCCTGTCAGTGGTACACAGTACAGTGTCTGGTCGTACCGAAATATCGTGCACACTTTGACGTGTGCGTAAGACAACCCATGAAAGTCGGCATTTGAAATAGAAGAAAGACGCAGCCCCGCTGCCCAGGGAAAAAATCCCTCAGAGCACACTAGATGGAGTAAGCCCGTCTCCATTAGCCGAGTCGGTGCCAAAACGTAGGAGGTTAAACAATACCCCAACTTTATGTCAAATTCCAAAACGAAATATTACATCTCGTTGTCCAATAATAGCGCTACAAAATCATGTATGATTTGTTTATACACACTAGCCTAATCAATCGGCGTCGAACTGCAGCCGAATTCATTCGGCCGAATGGTTGGACACACTTGGCGAATTCTCCGCCCAATAAACCAATCGAATGCATCACTTTCTACGTCACTTGATTTAACCTGACAGCGACCGTGTCTTCAAATAATCATGTGACTTCTCTACATCAGCAGTGGTTGGCTAATGAATTCTAAAAATCGGGCGAATCTTTCAGCGAACCGGGCACACTAAGCGAATTTAGAAATTCGGCCGAATGGCACTGGACAATTCCGGCGGTGATTGATTCACCAATGCTTACTATTCACCATAGAGAGATGCGGCACATCATTGGCTACCTTGCTGTGCTGCATGTATGAAATGATTTTTGAACTATAGCACTAACCAGGCAATCCCGTATTCGATCACCATGTTGGCCGAGAATGTTCTTTGTGAAACGTAAAACGGGAAACCCCTTTTCATTCCATTTTAATTGTTGCTGGATTTTCTTCCCGTGGGAGCTTATCAGGAGGTTTGATTGAACACGGAAACGTTATCAAAGAGAACGGACAAGACCGGGTGAGTCTTTTTGTATAAAAAAATTCTTTATTTACAATGTGATAACTACATATTTAACTTGATAATAACTACATTTAACAAAATAAATCACCGAGTGAAAATCTATTTTAAAAAATTAATGAAATGGCACATGCAGTGGATTTTAAATAATCTTTTACAATAAATTCAAAAAGTAAAAATTTCAGTCTTTTGTAAATAGGAAAAACAAAACAAAACAAAGGAACCCTAGGTACAACTTTATACACTGCGCCATGGCTCAATACAATTTACGGCTTAGTGACATCTTGAATTCATGGGCAGGAATCGCGAGGAAAGAAATACGAAGCTGGTTGACCGACATTGTTATCCTTACATCGACGATTTTAGTTAGTCGAAAACACTTCGCCAACTAAGATAATTTTGAGATGTATTTATTACGCAACCATTTTAATACTTAATGTAATTAATACTGTTTATAATCTAGTCCTTCTGTGTATGAAAGACGTAAAACGGATTAGAACAGCAAAATATCAAAACTTACACTAATATTTCAATATGACGGTCATTCTGGGAATAGATCTATACTTAAAGTAGATAGTTCTCTGAGTGCATTTATAAACACCCATTTATGCTTGTTGAACTGCGGTAGTTGAAATAATATAAAATTCATTATCATCTACCTAAACAAACTATTAAAATGCATTTGTCCAAAGCACAAGAAAAGGCAAATATAAATAAAAATCGAAAATTTTATGTGATAGCATAAGCCCTACAGCACTCACTGAGCGCACTGCCACGTTTGATATTCACTATTAAATAGGCGAGTCTTTAAAGGACTCTGGTGTTCTGGCTTCCTTAAATATGGTGGTTCTGCCTGTTCTTAAAAATACAACTGACAAGGGATTTTTCACGTGCACGTCAACGTGGACAAGGGTGGACTTGGGTTTTTGTTCCATTTGTTATATTTCTAGTTGGAATAGTTAATAGGTCGAGGCGTGCATGGGGTTGGGGGTTGGATACATATCTAGTGGCGTGTGTAGAGGTTCTACCCCCTGACAACAGGGAACACGGTCGGAAAAATCCCGAGATACGTGTCAGTCCACGCCGGGATTCGAACCCACCATTCCAGTCCCTTATCGCTCAACTACAATTGAGCTCCATAAGCAAAACAAAATAAATATAAGCGGAAAATGGCGCAGGCAATAGAAAATAATAATATGTACGTAACCACTTTTTCATTTCTGATTTATACTCTTTCTTCAGGTGGCTACAATGTTTTCTTTATCCGGCCCAATCGCTTTTTACAAAATATAAAACAGGAATAATGTTCTTATAACCAAAATAGCTGTTAGTCGTAGAGTCACAATAAGATGACAAATTGTTTTAACAATCGCAATTTAAGTCATAAAACAATATCCGATAGACCACAAGGCAAGCCCCCCCGTTGAACCTGCACAACAACTCGACAAAATAGAAAACTATAACTTGTAGCGGAGAAAGAAAATCCGGAATCCACAAATATACTACAACACCAAGGGTCAGTCTCAAGTTTCATTGAGTTTCTAATTATTCCCCCATCCGACACAAATAAGATGTTATCTTATGTGCCATCCCATAACATATACGTTGTCCAATAGACTATATTAAAACCGATAAAGACACCTGGAAAGGCTATACGGGAGATTTTGTCCATTTGTCGCGCTCGATGTCTGTTCTGGGCTGTCATATTTGATAGTCTTTTGTTTTTGAATTTACCATTCGGCTTCTCCTGTAATAACAAAGACAATTGAAGATTCATTATTTATATAAATATAAAGAGGATTATATATTACTGTCATAGATGGGGTGCACTGTCACACATATGTATGGTTTGATATAGGTGACAGGGGATAACTAAATTAGTTACACGACCAGTCGTTCCATCATGTGCTCCGTCCCAAAACAAATTACAGGGCACCTTATTCAGCTTGTTTTAACATTAAAGGAAATGAAATGGTGTTTAACGTCTAACTATTCTATACAAACCGGGTCAATGAAAAGGAAAGTTTGTCCCGGACAGTGCCGTTTTAACCTACTCGTCACGGATTTCCATCCGACAAGGGTTCTTGTATGTACACGGAACCTCAGAATTACGTACCATACAAAATACTAGATTCTGTTCATTGCCAGATAGCCCCTTCTTGCATCCATGGGATGGGGAAGGGAAAATCTCCAGGAACATCGAACCCGGGAGCTTCTGTTAAGTTGTCTTACTCACTGATCCACAATTGTTACTCTTTTTGTACAAATCAAACCAATAAATAGTATATAATATATGGAAGCCCGATCATTACCTCTAAAATATTCCCAACTTCTTGATCAATGGACACTGAAGAAACTTCCCCTCTGATGGTCTGTCGTCTGCGTTCAACTCTAGACATAACATTTACATAGGCAAACTCCACCAGAGCTGCGAACACAAAGAATAAACACATGGCCATCCACACGTCAATAGCTTTGATGTACGAGACTCGTGGTAAATTAGCACGTGCACCGGAACTCTGTGTTGTCATGGTGAGAACTGTCAACAGTCCTAGTGATATCCTAGCCGGGATAGCATCAATGTCCAACCAAAACGAGACCCAGGATAAGATAACAACCAACACACTAGGTATATACACCTGGGCTATATAATATCCATAATTTCTATTCAAATAAAAGTCAGCACTAAGGCAAGTGTAATTAGCTGAAATATAATAAAATATACTCAATATAATAAAATATACCCAATATAATATAACATACTCAATATAATACTACAAATATAACGATTCGCAGAAGCTTATAATATGGTGCCGTCGCCAGCATATGCCACCAGGACAAATACTATGGACCAGAAACAGAGCAGGACGTCATCGCAGTCATCTTGGAATCGTGACATATCAGAATTCGAAGTATGTCAATCGATGTCTAAAGAAGCGGTATGCCAGGCTTCTTGTCGATCGTAGTTGTTTTCAAAAAAATAAGAACAAGAATAACAAGATGAGTACTGAGTAGGCTTGGGGTCCAGATCCTTGTTCAAGTCGTGGCAAAGATCTCTGTCATATCTATACCTGGTGTTATCTATATAGACATAAAAAAGAAGACAAATTGTCACTCCGCACAAAATAAATCAACGTATAAAATCCATTGAAATTGTAATTTGGACCCAAATGAAAAGATCTAGCATCTAGCCATAAGCCCATTTCTAGTTTTCTGCGTTATTATTAGTTATTGCAACTCCGTTGGTATGTGGTATGGATAGAATGACAGCCTGTTGTACACTATGTCATGTTCATGCATATTGAGAATGACCACCGCATGTAGTGTGTACAATGGTACTTAGACCTTTCTGAACGGGATTAAGTAGATAAGTCTCGATAGCAGTACACATATGAGATTTACGTTTAAGAAACAGTGTGAAATGAAATTAAATGGTGTACAATGTCTTACTTTCCTGTCTCATACAGGCTACTTAAGACGGGCATGTGTCGTACAGGGCTAATGTTATTTCGAATTTCAAATGCCAAGGTTCTATTACGTGTACATCGGGCCTCAGTTATTCGTCCCATCCCAACGATTAGACGCGGTTTCTTGCCAGAAACATTATAGTTCTCTCCATAAAATTTGGTTTCTCCTTTACTTACTATTTACATATGTTTTAGTACAATCAGACCACGTCCACGTGACCAGATCAAACTGAGGAAGAGATACTTCCGGTCTTTTTATAATAGGTTGAGAATTCCACTTAAATATCAGATTACTGGTGGAATAGCCATCTGAAATAAAGGGAGATAATTATAATTGATTATAACGGGCGGAGAGGTGCGTTTAAAATTCTAGTTGCAAGAAATCCAAGTAACAGTGAGTTTTCAAAAAGACTTCATTTCATATTTCTTAATAAAAAGACGTATTTTTCAAAACATTCAAATTCGCACAAATTCTCTAAATGAAACTAAACGGGGCTTAACTAACGTCTTACTTTTCTGCACTAACCGTGTGAATGATCACGTCTACGCAGCGACGTTTCCGCCTTATCGTCTTTTAATTCCAACTGCCGGGGGTTCTTTAATGTGCACGCCAATGTGTACAGGGGACCTCCGTGTTCGTACCACCTGAACTACTAAACGCTATTCATTGTCAAGCGCCAATGCCAAGGGATCGAACCTTATGCTATACTCATCGAGCCACCGTAGGTTCAGGTTACTGATGGGAAATAATTGCTCATAGCTTGGAACTCAAATCGTACATTAATCAGCGACCAGAAACAAATGGATACCCAAAATAAAAGAATGTAAACTTACAACTTTCCATAACAATATGACAATCTTGATCATCAAATGGATATTTATGTAGATCCATATCACAACTTAATGTCATAGATATCCTGAAAACAAAATGGTGGCATAAATACGTCATTACACTTGATACTAACAAAATATTAAGTGCAAAACAAAACCGAAAAGACAAACCTGCGGAAAAGACAAACCTGCGGACAAGACAAACCTGCGGAAAACTACATAAATATTGCAAGAAATAAACAACAAATATCAAAGTGAATGGATCCCGGGGGAGGGGGGGGGGCAGCAGTAAGCGTCAGGTGCGCTGTATCGTCCCGGGCCTGTAATAATACAGGCTTCGTTTTTTAAAAAGTTATAATGTTTGTTTCTATGGTCCCGTTTCTATCCCACAGAGACATATTGTCCAATTAATACAAGGATCCCGCTTCCGGCTTAAAATCACTTCACCATCACTTGACACACCATTTACATACAAACCTTTCCTTCTATTCTACACAAAGATGTCGACACAAATCGCCAACTAAAGGAGAACTGGTTGGAAAGGTTATAAACAGAAGGAACCATATGCGAGCAGGTAATGGGGGGTAAAGACTATAATTAAAAGACATTACACGAGGGCATTTCAATTTGGCCTGTATCCATAACTATATTAATGTCTGATCATAATTGTAGGTTTGGGGCCGCGATTGCTCAGTGAGTAAGACGTTGGCTCGCTGACCTGGAGATCCAGTGTTCGAACACTGTGTTGGCCGAGAAACCCATTTCATTCATTCATTCGAGCGTAGTTAATGTCTAACCATTATTGTGGGTTATTCAACTATATGCAAAATCCATCTGAATACATAAATACTTACCGACAACTATAGTAAAGTGTTCCGTTAGGAAAAATATGCATTAATCTATTTGGAACAGTCACGTGATGAAAAGCTGCAGTTTTCTCGTTGGTAAAGAAGAGATCCGGTACCCAGATTTGCTCCATCAACCGTGCATCTAATTCTAGAGATCTTATGTTGGGTAACTTTGTGTACTGTAATCTGTGATCTGTCCAGGATTGTCGTAGAAACACTGTCAGTGAATAGTCCTGAAAGATACAAATGATCGTGAAAGATACAAATGATTCCTGATCGTGAAAGGAACATAATTCAAAAACCCAATTATGTTTTTTTGTTTAATCAAGATTTATGCGTATATTCTTTTATGTGATTTTAGTTCCATCTGAATATCTATTTGGAATCCGGTGTAGAGTCCCGTTCACACAGGGTTGGGCAATGACTAATTTCAATGATTAGCTCTCGCCGAGGAATCTTCAGCCGCGCTCTACTCTACAGCGAGCGCGTTAGACCACTGGAGTACCCAAACCCCCGATCAGCTGACAAAAAGCGAAGTTTTTCGATAGAAGGTAATAAAATCTCACCATTGTAGCTTCACTGATGGAATCAAAACTAACAATATACAGTTGTACCGTCACATTGGTTGGAATATCTGAAAAAAATAAAAACAAAAATATAGTAAAATTTAAAACATTTTTAAATGATATTTATGTTTTACGTGGTAATGATAATACAATTACCCCGTGATACAAGACACCCCACCGGGTATAAGGGTCGCTTGCTTTCTCTTCTTGGGGACATTTGACTGGAAGTGCTATTTATCTGCCGTTTGAGAACATAACTAGACCACACTTGACAGGCGGATTCGTTTAAACATAAACTGGTTTGGGGCGTTTAGCTCTCAAGCGCTATTTCTCAGCCGTTCATAACCTGCACTTGGTGAAGCTCGCTGGAAACCAGCCTCTCCACGTACACTTTTTTTGTGCGGATATAATACGGGGTATTCTGGACAGATTACACATGTCCGTTTACGTCAAAGTAAAGTCAAAAGCCATACTGTGATAAAGAAGTCAAAGTTTTAAAAAGAGGCGGGGGTGGTGGTGGTGGTGGGGATGGTGGGGGGGGGGGAATAGCACCCGCCTGTTCTGCCTGTCTTTTGTAGTGTAGTTATTACCGTGTTGCCTATTAGCCAGATATCTTTTTTATAGTTATCAACCCACCCGATGGGTCTTATTCAATAAAACTGAAACTGCAACAGTAGGACGTTAACCCCCATTTCATTTTAGAGTGGTCAAGAGCTGAAATTTGTGTTATGATTTTAGTCGTCAGCCAATCAACCATCAACATTCTTAAAGTATTTCTGATTAAGTTTTCATAAATGCGGACAATAGTTAGTACTGACTGACTTACCGTCTTCAAAATTGGGAGGAATATTGGCGTCATAACCTTTCAGAAGACCGCTTATAGTTCTTTCCCTGAAACAAGAATTTTATAATCTAAAAACATAAATAACAAGGGGTGCGTATACCAAATATCCATAAACTTGTCATCTTCAATGAACGTTGTGTGGAAAAATAATGTTTTGTTTTATGACAGAATATGTGGATTCTGCAACTCCTCCATCTTCCACTAGACGTCGAATAAAACAAATGTATTGTCATAACTAATAATGTATGGGTATTAAATTCCACCAAATTGGTTCAATTCCAATTTTAATGGTGTGCACTTGTCACTATTTCCTTCCCCATTGGGTATTTAAACTACTATTTTCAGAAAATAGCAGAATAGAGGTTTGAGAATATATAATAATCTACATACTGATTTTCTAAAGTATTAAATACTGTATCATTTGTCTTAGGGCTAAATTGATTAAATAATACCGAAGAAAATATACTTATAAAGACCACAATTTCATATCTTAACTGAGCAGTCTCTGATTCCACAGGGCGTCCGTTGATGACTTAGCATGTCAAAATATTGAACCGTTTCAGACAAGCCAATTTGTCGGGCCCATTTGTCGCATTCGAGCATTTAACATGGGTTCAGTTACATTAGTGGCTTATAATCCCAAAGATTACTAACTACTATAGCATGTATAAGGGCACCGTTAACTAGTTACATGAGAATAGCGTGAAATTTGTAGATAGTTTGCAAAATACACATGGAAATCGATAGCTTAAATTTCTTCGCACAGCTATCACTCAGCTGGATGTTGGATGTGTTACCAAGGATCCTCGCCAGATAATTAACCAGTTTAATACAACAAAATAGATCTGGGACAGACAACAAACTAAGTGTTACTGTATAAAATCCTTTCCAATATGCAACTTAATTCTCGACTATCAAGTAGTGTTATGACAGCGCTCTTGGCGTGGGTCTAGACTAAACATCGTATATACTATGATGACAATTTTACCCAGAGAGCGGCGCTACGGTCTAGTCTTATTTCAACTTTCAATGGTTCTTTTACGTGTAGACCAATGCCTACAAGAGAACGACTAAACGCCTGTTCCTTGCCAGGTCCCCCGTTTTGTACCACCAACAAGGGCAAACCACCCTGGTAAATCTCGGATCGAACACCGGAGGATCGAATCCCGGATCAAATGGTGAGCGAGCCAGTGCCTTACTCACTGAGCCATCGCAGCTCTCTTAAATGTTTAGTATTTTGCAATTTATTATTGACTAAAGTACCATGTAGACTCATATAATGTATAAAAGTAGACAATCTAATTAAACAGACGAAGGATTTCTATGAGCGAAATGTGTTCAGTGAGGTAATATGTGTATGATATTATGGTTATAAAGCACGGTCGATTAACATTAATATGTGAATCATATCATGGTAACAATAAAAAATACAGTCAATTAAGATAAGGTGAGATTATTGTATGGGAAGATAGAGATTTTAATATTCCAGTCTGAGTTGAGAGTAGATTATAATACACGTTAGTTTTAAATTCATGAATAGAGGAAGAGTTTCAGACTGTTTATCATGAACATTATAATCTAGTTCTTGTAACGGGCTTAACGTACAATTTTTCTGCACAAACCGGGAAAATGAAGATGAGCATACGCCATATATTGTACTATTGACAGTAGCGTTTCCGCCTACTCTTGGTCGAATTAAATCTGCAAACCATCCTGGTCCTTTTTTACGTACACGCCAACGTGTACATAGAACTTTGGGTTTTTTTTCGTCCCATCCGAAGGACTAGACGCTATTCCTTTCACAATTAAAACTGAATAGAAATAAACTAAGGTATACACGTGATTTTATGCTCTTTAGTTGGGTGTTGCTTTCTAAGAAATTGATATCAAAAAGAAAATGTCTTAAGTTTTAATTTATTTCATTCTATCATAAAATATAGTGGATATTTATTAACATTCAACTTACCATGGTGTAGGAATATGTTCTTCCGCTGCTGATATTCTAGTGATAAAACACAATATACCTATCCACAATATATACAATATACTTCTCGCACTTCCACACATTTTCAACATGTCGACATAAAACTATTTAATTGTTACTAATGCACTGAATTGTCAAGACATTCGTCTTCTGAAATACAACCACTTTGAAACAAATCTTTTTTACGTCCAAAACCTATCAAATACAATAGTATATCAATAAATATGCGTTATTTTCCACTCAACATATGTAGGTCTTAAATCGCCTATTAATCTAAGTTGCACCATACCCAAACAAAACCGATAAGTCAAACCTGCGGACAAGACTACATAGACATTGCAATCAGTAAGTATACCTTTTGTTTCCACTTAAACTTTACCGAACTGTCAAGACATTCGATTTCTGAAATAAAACCATTTTATACCCATAACAACGTCATATCAATACAATTATTTCACCAAGGAATTAAACCATCAAAATCACACGCGCACCTAAAAATTATTCCACAAGCCTTAAAAATACGATTTACACATAGGTTAGCAATAATATACTTTATCTAAAAGACGACAAGCAATAAATATAGAGTAGAGATTGGCGGCACCCGAGAATGATAGGCTACAAATACAATCTCTGTGGCCAATACATACAGAGATACACAGAGGTTGGTACAAATACATTCTCCAATAGACCTACAGAATAGAGGTACACAGAAGTCGGTATAAATACATTCTCTATGACCAATACAGAATAGAGAGGTGCATTCTCTATGACCAATACAGAATTATAGACAGTTACATTCTCTATGTCCAATTGTAACAACTCGGTTATGTTTTCAAAATTCCTACTAAATCAAACCCATGGAAATATGTTGACTAGCGACCTATAGTACGCGTTCAATGGCTCAACCACAGCTGCACCAGTACATTAAAAATGAAATAAAAACAGTCTAACACATTAAGCCTATCCATGTTGATGACATAAGTAAAAAGTACTGGCAAACTTGTATGCAGTATTTTGATTAAAATGTATGCACATTAAATAACAATACATAACAGTTACTGGTACACCTATTGTTAATCCTATTTTCCAATAAAATTTACAGAAATTTGTAATAAATATTGTCTTTGTCAATGTTAAAGCACCAGTAATAGTGGTGAGTACAGTTAGAAACAGTCACAGAATCATATGATGAGAGTTTACTTTGTCGTAGGACATGAAACCATGCGAAACATTTTGAAGATCTTGTTAATAGTGCATACGAGCAACTATCCATACACCCCATTGCGCATCGCGAATAGTGCGTAGCGGACGGAGAGAATTATCTATTACTATTAGTACGTAGTAGGCCAATATATTATAAAATATTCTATGGTGTAGATCTCTGACAATCGTCAAGCTAGAACGGCCGGAAGTTAGTAAATCACGAACGAATTGGTATTTCATTCACGTATACGTGGAAAAATAAATTACGCAAAAACAACACGCAATGCATATCTTGAACTACGTGCATATCGCTTGCTAACTCAAACAATGGTTGTCCTAGAAAGTGGGCTGGTGAACAGTCAGAAAAATGTTGTCAGTGCAAAAATATCATGATTTTCTTACTATACATGCAACTACTATCGAATCCAAGAATAACTAACTAATGGAGTCTACAATGAATAATACGAAAATAAGTGACTCAATTAACGCCGGCTCAAATGACAACATGTGTGAACAAACCTATTATATTAAAAATACCATCGATTATTAGTTTATTAACGACATGCCGCAGCCAATACAATGTCCTTTCACATTAATTGCATTTGAATTGGTATAAATTCTCCTTCGTGTGATTATTGAAAAGATCAGTAGGTGCTAAAAATGGTACAACGACCACACAACGCTGCATTCTTTTATGTTTAATAATGACATATCCGATTTGGGTGTAACGATAATAGCGTACTAAATTACCGTATATAATTCTGTTTAATATATAATAAAACTATTCGATTTTGGTAAATTTAATAAATTTTATCTTAAGAACATTATTGAACAAGCGTTAAAGATGCATTATGTAAGAGCTAAATCTACCTATGTATGTTATATAAACATGTTATATAAATTATTATTTAGACATCTATTTACATGTTAAGCACATATTCAACTCTCTAGAACATCGGATGACTGTGGTATATTGAATGGAATAGAACACCCGTGTCATATAATAATTTTGTTTATTATTGTAGCAATGTTACCTGACAAAAGAGGATATTTACGCTAATTCATTCCTAAACGTTAAACACCCATAACCTCGCTTAGAATAAAGTAATTTGAATGACATTAAAATTTATACATTAATCTGTTCATTATCTATTTTTGAACTATTATGGCAAAACAAGCCAGCTAGTTAACAAAATTAAAATAATGCATTTTTAACTATATTTTAATTGTTTATGCTGTGAATTGAAACATTATTCTTTCACGATGAATTTAATAGCTAATGTTAATTATATCCAAGCCATCTGTATTTAATTCAGATTCTTTCATTTGGAATTAATTGATTTAATTATCTATGATAGTGGTCAGGAATAATTATTCTTCCACGGTGAATATGTTAAACTTTGTTTATTATCGTAGCATTGATACTTGGCATTCGAAGATTTTTTACGCTGAATCTTGTCTAAATAATAAAGTAATTTAATTATCTATGATAGTCGTCTGGAATAATTATTCTTCCACAGTGAATATGATAAACCTTTAAAATAAAATAATTATTGAACCTAAAGATACATTACGCGTACTAAAAACATATTCAAAAGTAACCAACAAAAATTTGCTTCAATGTCTGTCAACTTAGCTTCATTGTGGGAGGGTCCATTTTTCAGAATGTATTTATCATTACTTACTGTACATTTACCATACATAATGAAGCCCAAGTTAATTCTTAATTATTTCTGTCAACTTCCTTTTTCGCCGTTTATTTGCAGAGCCTTTTTACGTTGACACATCTCAATGTTCCCAAAACCTCCTAACCATTTGAATAAGATATAACAATCGCTCCCTCACTTAAGCTGGCACACAATAAGCTGGCAGATAACAGTCGGGTTGCCAGTTAGTGATACCCTGACAATTTTGCCCAGTGCTTGCCTCATGAACGTTTTTCGGGTAATCCAAAATTTTTCTAGTAAGATTGGGTGTCTATACTTTCCATATATACCAAATTTGACATACTTTTATTGGAAAGAACCACCCGATAAATACTTTTCCGGGAAAGTATCTTTAATTGTAATTGTCTACGCTACTGATCAACCTTCGATTCGATTTGAAGAAATGATTCATTCGTGGTGTGTTATTAAATTTCAATGATCTTTTCTCTATTTCACATGTTTATTGGTAACTTGGACAATAAAAATCTGTTTCTTCTGGTTTGAAATTAAATTATATTTAGAGTGACCGATATCCTAGTATTGAAGAGATATATTATAGGAAATTAAATGGGTTTAACGTCCTACCTTTGTGCACCAACCGGACTAAGTAGGAACAGAAACACGCCGATGAGAGAAACCTTGCCCTGGCAGCGGTGCTATGGTTAACACTTATTACGATTTCTATCCAAGGATCTTTAACGTGACCTCAGTTTACCATTTCATCCGAATCAATAACAAGGCGAAACCAGGCTGGAAAGTCTAGAGGAGCTCTTGAGAAACACGTACATCAACGGAAGACGATAATTATGGGTAGTACTCAAAGATATAAACAATATAAATATATGAAATAACACGCTGTTAAACGTCTATGCCTTTAAGAAATATGCAATCTAATTGTTAACTCTCTTGGCTAGATTTTAGAATTTTAGCTGTAATCAATCTTCTTACGACAAAACGACATAAAGCCAATATATCAATTATTTACAGAGACAAATTAGTCATTAAAGATATAAAACAATACCAACTTTCTTCATGTAAGTTTCTGTAGATAATCAAATGGGTATTGTATTAAAGAAATCGATATAAATATGGTTCTATAGGGACTGGAACTCTACATAAAACTAGGTTAACGAAACTCGGAATTAATTACAAAACCCAAGGACGTGATTTTGTGGTAATGACAGCTATGAAGTGCTGACAAAAGGGGAAGGCTAAAATTAAGTCATTATTTTCAAATACTGTCACTAAAATCCTCAATGTTAAATCGTAGACATTCGTCTGCCACTAGAGGAAATGAAATGTTAATTGAATTTAAATTCTCCGATACCCAACCCGATTTGATTGTTATAGTTAAGAGAGAGAGAGAGAGAGAGAGGGGAGAACCCATACTCGACACAAACTAGGTCATTTCGGGACTAACACATGGTTCAATTTTATTTCAATAATTCGCTGGCGCGTAGGGGTCTTTAGCAGAGGGAGGAAACCGGAGGACCAGGAGAAAAGCCACGAGGTTGGACAAAAGACCCTACTCCTTGTCACGTACAACCGGGGATTCGAAACCACGCCAGTTGACTCAATGACATCCCTTATGATAAAGCGCACACGTGCTAACCATTCGGCCATTCACCCCCCTTGTTTTAGTTAAGGCATACAAGATCTAAAAATATTAATGCATGCATCAAAATATTGCAACTTAGTTTTTGATAATTAAAAAGAGCAATGACAATAAATATGTATTTAAATCCAATTGACTCAAACAAACTTATAAGAATAATTTGTATTGGATCGGACGCTATTTTCAACATTACAATATCAGACGTTTGCATACAAAGGTCAGCCCAGAAGAACTTTAGGCATTTTCAGGTCAGGTGTAACGTTTGCAGTTCTGGCGCGGGAATAGAAGCCCAATATAGGAATTGGTAGAGTACATTGCAGATGCACTGCCTGGGCAGAATTATCGCCTCCTTAACATTACAAACCTAACACAATTACTTAACATGACCAAAATATTACATCGACAATTAAATTTACATTGCTTCCATTTACCAAAGGACCCATGTGAAGAACAGTGATCAATACAATACTCGTCCATCATGTGGTGCCAATTTTTTGTGAATAGGCCACTTAAAACCGAATGGGTTGAATCGAATAAAATAAAATCCGACATGACTTCAATTGACGTCTTAACGTTTGTAATGTATTACATCTTCGTGGTAATAATCGTGTCGATTTATCTAAATCGTCGTAATGCAGTTTGTGTTCCTCTCTATGAAGAAAACCCGTTGAGAACTCAATTCATCACGTCAAGGCTTCCTTCTGGTAATAGATCATTGAAACACAGAATGGATAAAAATTGGCAACAATAAGAAAGGAAACAATCTCTGTGATGAACCAAGTTAATGTTGGTTAGTCATTCTTTGAATGGCATTTAGTAATTGGAACATAGTCAAATAAAACACTATTTATGGATAACAATTACTTTAGTTTATTTCACTGCGACGTTTCTATGCTTGATAACGACTTGAAGCGTCGCAGTGAAATAAACCATAGTAATTGTTATCCATAAGTAGTGTTTTATTTGTAGTAATTCATCAATGGTTACAGTATCCTAATGACCTACTGACTTAAATGGTACTATCCTTTTGGAGAATTCGATTTTCGGTAAATTAGAGATGGAGTTAGCTCATTAATCAGGAGGCCCTGGGGAGTTTAAGCCCGGACTTTGTCAAGACAGTTCCTTCAGATTGTCTAACCGTGGCAAGAAAAGGTATGTAGTCGTTGGTGTGCACGTTAAAGAAACCATGGCAGATGGAATACAGTATAATATTCAAATGACCTGACTTTTGGGAATGCAAATTTTTCGTTAAGGTG